GCTGCTGCTGGGGGCCGGGGCTGCGGCCGCAGTGCTGCTGCTCTGCGGGCTTCTGCTGCTGCTGCTGCGGGACCAGCCCCGCCACGGGACAGAGCGCAGGTGAGCGGGAATGGATCCCAGGGGAAAAACAGAGAGAATTCCATGGGAAAAGCAGGGAATAGGTCCTGTGGGAAACAGGGGATGGGGCTCTGGAGAAGGGGGAATGCTGCTCTGCTGCTGCTGAAGGAACAGCCCCACCACGGGACAGTGCAGGTGAGCGGGAATGGATCCCAGGGGAAAAACAGGGAGAGAATTCCATGGGAAAAGTAGGGAATAGGTCCTGTGGGAAACAGGGAATGGGGCTCTGCAGAAGGGGGAATGCTGCTCTACTGCTGCTGCGGGAACAGCCCTGGGATGGGAGAGAGTGCAGGTGAGCGGGAATGGATCCCATGGGAAAAACAGGGAGAGAATTCTGTGGGAAACTGGGAGTGGAGCATGGTGGAAACACTGCTCAGCTCCTGTGGGACCAACCCCGGGATGGGAGGTTCCACAGGTGAGGGGCAGGAATTCCGTGGGAAAAACAGGGAATGGAGTCCATGGGAAACAGGGAAAACCCCTGAAAATTCTGCCACAAAACATCCAATTTTAAATCTAATTTTGACCAAAATCACCCATAGGAAGCTGAATTCCCTGCAGCAATTCCCATTTTTTTTTTATTTTCTCAGATTCCTGGCCAGGGTGACAGATACGGAAGCCACGGACACTAGGAATCCCAACCTGAACTACGGGATCGTGGTGGATTGCGGCAGTAGCGGCTCCCGTGTGTTTGTGTACTGCTGGCCCCGGCATAACGGCAACCCCAAGGACCTGCTGGACATCCAGCAGATGAGGGACAGCTCCAGGAAACCCGTGGTGATGAAAATCAAACCAGGTACTGGGAAAATTTTGGAATTTCTCCATGATTTCCTCTCCTGACTGCGCTCCAGAGTGTCTGGATAAGGGATATTTCCAGCATGGAGCAGCTCCATGGATTTTGGGATTGGTTTGCAGGGAGTTGAAGTCTGGAATGAGGAAGGAGGGAGAGGTTTTTCCATGTGACAGCAACAGGAAAAGGTGGTGATGAAAATCAAGCCAGGTACTGGGAAAACCATGGCATTTCTCCATGATTTCCTCTCCTAACTCTGCTTCTTGCACTTCAGAGTGGCTGGATAAGAGATATTTCCATTTTTTGGTCATGGAGCAGCTATATTGTCTCCCTTCATTCTCTTTATTTAGTGAGGAAATCCCTGTGCTCCTGGAAAGTGATTGGAAAACCCCGGAGCTGTTTCATGCTCGAGGAAATATCCCTCATCCTGATACTCTGGAGTGAAGAAAACTCATTTAGGAGAGGAAAGCCTGCAGGAATTCCCATGTGGAGCAGATTTTTCCCAGGATATATCCCTTACCCAGGCACTCTGGAGCTCAGGAAGCAGAGCTAGGAGAGGAAATTCCATGTTTCTTTCCCAGCTCTTGGCTGCATTTTCCTCACCACCTTTTCCTGTTGCTGTCCCATGGAAAAACCTCTCCCTCCTTCCTCATTCCAGACTTAACTCCCTACAAACCAATCCCAAAAAAAACCTGGAGTTGCTCCGTATCGGAAAAACCCTTGGGAGCGCGGGAAGTGCAGTCAGGAGAGGAAACAATGGGAAAATCCCATCATTCCCACAGCCCATTTCCCACTTTGCCTTGTCCGTTCCTGTCGGGATTTTCCAGGGAATGGGGTAGCTGGAGCTGCTCCAGCAGCAGGTTTGTGTTTTCCCAGGAATTTCGGAGTTTGCCAGCTCTCCTGCTGAGGTCAGTGATTACATCTCGCCCCTGCTGAGCTTCGCTGCCGCGCATGTCCCACGCTCCAAGCACAAGGAGACTCCTCTCTACATCCTGTGCACGGCAGGAATGCGCATCCTGCCTGAAAGGTAATTCCCACATTTTTTTATTTTAGTTTTTTGGGAATTCCCACCACCAGCCTGGCTGGGTTTGAAGCCCTTTTCCATGGAATTTTGCAGCCAGCAGAAAGCCATCCTGGAGGATCTGCTCACGGACATCCCCACACGCTTTGATTTCCTCTTCTCCGACTCCCATGCTGAGGTGATATCTGGGAAGCAGGAAGGTAGGTGGGCCTTGGAAAAATACCTGGAAAATATTTAGGAATTCCCAGGGATGATTTTTGGGGTGTTTTGGTTGTTTTTGAAAATCCTGCTTTGCTTGAGAGCCTTTGTTCCTCAGCAGATCTGAGTGTGGGGATGAGCTCCTGATGGGACAAATCTTTGCTGATTATACCTGAAAATTTCATGGAATTGGATCTGGAAAAATATTTAGGAATTCCAAGGGATGATTTGGGGAATTTTTGTTGCTTTTTCAAGTGCTGATTGGCCAAATCCTTGCCGATTATCCCTGAAAATTTCATGGACTCAAATCCATTTCCTCTGGGGAATGGATAAATCACAACATTCCCAATGGAATTTGCAGGATGACTTTGAAGGCTGAGATCTCTTGGGGCCGTCACAAGAGCCTGAAATCCCCTTTCAAATCCATTCCCTCCATTCCTTCCCTGAATTTTACACATCAAAGAGTCTCCAATTCATCCAGGCAGGAATTTTATCCTGGCATTGACCTGGGAGAGGAGAGAATCCCCTGGAATTCCGCATTTCTTGGAAGTTAACCATTTCCCAGGAATGTTTCACTTCTATCATTTTATAAAATAAAAAGCTGCAAGAACAGAGCGAAAAGACAAGAAAAGAAATTCAGACATTTCCATTTGCCCTCAAGTTCATGATCCAGCTCTTCCTGACATTCCTGAAATTCCAGATCCAGCTTTTTTCCACCTGCAGGAGTCTATGCATGGATTGGGATCAACTTTGTCCTTGGAAGATTCGAGCACACGGATGATGGTGAGGAGCTGAAGGGAGGCTCCGTGTGGTGATTTTCCAGCCAGATGTTGGGATGCAATTCCAGCCCTGGGAATTGCCTTTCCAGATGTTGGGATGCGTTTCCAGACAGATGTTTGCAGCTGCTGCAGGGGCTGGGGTGGCTCCGCTCCCCCCTGAAGCTTTAACAGCCACAAGCAGCATCCTCTGGCTGCATCCCAGGATTTTTCCCTGTATCCCAGAGTTTTTTGCCCTGATTCCCAGTGATTTTTCCCCATATCCCGGTGATTTTTCCCTGTATTCTAGTGATTTTTCCCTGTACTCCAGAGATTTTTTTCCCTGTATCCCGGTGATTTTTCCCTGTTTTCCCTGCTTTTCCCTGTTCCCCAGAGGACAAGGTCATGGTGGAGGTACAGATCCCAGGAATTCAGCATCAAGATCCCATTTTCCCTCCCTGCCTGTATCCCAGTGATTTTTCCCATGTTTTTCCCAGAAGACAAGGCCAGATCCCAGGAATTCAGCATCAAGATCCCATTTTCCCTCCCTGCCTGTATCCCAGTGATTTTCCCAGTGATTTTTCCCTATTTCCCACTGTTTTTTCCCTGTATCCCAGTGATTTTTCCCATGTTTTTCCCAGAAGACAAGGTGATGGTGGAGGTACAGATCTCAGGAAGCGAGCGCAGGGATTTTTCCCTATTTCCCAGTGATTTTTCCCTATTTCCCAGTGATTTTTCCCTATTTCCCAGTGATTTTTCCCTATATCCCAGTGATTTTTCCCTATTTCCCAGTGATTTTTCCCTATATCCCAGTGATTTTTCCCTATTTCCCAGCGATTTTTCCCTATTTCCCAGTGATTTTTCCCTATATCCCAGTGATTTTTCCCTATTTCCCAGCGATTTTTCCCTATTTCCCAGCGATTTTTCCCTGTATCCCACTGATTTTCCTGGTTCCAGAGGCCGAGGCGGTGGTGGAGGTGCAGATCCCGGGAAGCGAGCACCGCGATCCCATTTTCCGGAAGAGAACCGTGGGAATCCTGGACATGGGCGGGGTCTCCACGCAGATCGCCTACGAGGTGCCCCCGAGTGTAAGCCCCATCCCGGAATTCCTTTTCCCTTGGGAATCATTTTCACACCTTTTCCTTTCTTTCCCATCATTTGGAATCCTCCATCCCATCCTATTCCCAGTTTTTCCCTATTTCCCATTGATTTTGCCCTATTTCTCACTGATTTTCCCCTATTTCCTACTGGTTTTCCCGTATTTCCCCCTGATTTTCCCATATTTCCCACTGTTTTTTCCCTATTTCCCACTGATTTTTCCAAATAATGTGGGAAATGGTTATTCCAGAGCAAAACTCCTCGATTTTACTCTCCCAGGGAAATAATCTTGGATTTTAAAAATTATGTGGGAGTTGACTATCCCTGAGGAAAACTCTTTTCTTTTGCCCTTTTTATGAAGGGAGCTTGGAAGGTTTTTTCCGCCAAAAAATATTGGAGATGATCATTCCCAAGGAAAACTCTTCAGTTTTGCTCTCCCTATAAAATAATCCTGCTTTTTTTCCCAAAAAATATGGGAGAAATGATCATTCCCAAAGAAAACTCCTCATCCTCTCCCTCTGAAATAATCTTGGATTCTGAAACAATCTTGGATTTCCCAAATAATGTGGAAAATGATCATCCTTGAGGAAAACTCCTCAAAGACAAAGAGTGGGAAAGCTTTGGAGGCAGCGTGCCGCTCTCATTCCTGGGAATATCCCAAACCACAGATGTGGCTCCCTAGGACTGGTGGATCCACAACCTTTTCAAGATCTTTCCCAACCCAAACAATCCCACGACCCCGTGGAGATTCCCTCACTCCAGCCCCTCCGGAAGCAGGAGAGGGAAGTGTTAAATGAGCAAGGGGCGAATCGAAAGGCATCTGAAACATCCCAAAAAATCCTTGGGATCATCCTGACGGTTCCTGGTTTTGCTGCAGGAGGAGGTGGCCAAGGGTTTGCTGGCGGAATTTAATTTGGGATGCGACGCCCACCAGACGGAGCACGTGTACCGCGTCTACGTGGCCACATTCCTGGGATTTGGGGGGAATGCGGCCCGCAGGAGATACGAGGAGAGCCTCTTCTCCAGCAGCCTCTTGGGGAACAGGTATTCCCTGGAATTCCTCTGGAATTCCAGCCTGCTTCATCCCCTGGGAGAGGTTGGGGCCAGATTGGAGCACCTGGGATAATGAGAGGTGGCCTTGCAATGATGGGAATGATCCTGGGTGTTGTGTGGAGAGATCGTGGCACTTCCAGAAGGGAAAATCTGGGAAGTGGAGAGGGATTTGTCCTCAGGAATTGGAACAACAGGACAAGGATAATGCGTTCAGCTGGAAAAGGGGAAATTTAAGTTGGATTTATGGAAGGAATTCCCAATATGAGGGTGGGATGGAATTCCCAGAGCAGCTGTGGCTGCCTCTGGATCCCTTGGAGTTTCCAAGGCCAGGGTGGAGCAGCCTGGGACAGTGGGAAAAGATGGGAATGATCCTGGATGTTGTGTGGAGAGGGAAGGTGCGGGAAGGGAAGGTGCGGGAAGGGAAGGTGCGGGAAGGGAAGGTGCG